TCAGGGACACGCCGTTGATTTGCTTTAGTAGTTACTTTTTTGTGTTTATAAAAGGGTAGTTTTTTTTCTTTTTCTTTGCTAAATGAAAGAAGTAAAAGGAGTATTCAAGAGGCATTTTCGGACGGAATGAAAGGAGGGATGCCTTTATTTTTCAACTCTCTCTTCTGCCTTGCGGTGCTCAGTCGACGTTCGGCCTTTTATTTTTTATTTTGACTCAAACTTTTCACTAAGGTGGACCGAGAGTTGGAGGGATGCGTTTAAAAACCTCGGGTGGGTGAGTTTATTTCGGTTTTTAGAGAAGCTAACCTAAAAACAGCTGTTTTATATTTTAAAGAGAAAAGACAAAAGGGTTAGCGGACAAATGGACGCACAGAAAGTTATTAAAGCAACATAAACTCGAAGTTCCCCGAATCTTGTGGGCGACCGCTGTTAAACACAAGGTTCACTTTATTCCTGGTTTCTTTCTGAAATATTATTGCATGTTGTTTATCACAGAAATAAACACGGTGTTTAGCGTAACAGTTTGGATTATTTTTTTTTTTTTTGTTAGTTCGTCTCAGCGGAGTCCGTTTCTCCCCTTCCTTTATAGAAATATGCCAGCACTCATTTAAGCTAGTAATGGACGCCAGAAACAACTTTTTTTTCCCTTTAAGTTTTTTTTTTTTTTAAATCTGTGGTTACAGTTTTTTTGTCCTAAATGTGTTTTAGTTCGTGTTTTCATTTTATTTTGGGCCTCATTTGACTACTTTCATCCACTTCAGTGTTAAATTGTCAAGTTGTGCAAACGTTGCAATTTAGCGCTCTCTTTTTAAAAAAAAAAAAAAAATCTAACTCGCTAAACATTTAATATTTTTGCTTTGGAAGCTGCTACTGCCTACATCTTGGCCGTTTAGGTGTCTTTCATTTCATGCTTTGTGAGCTTTTCTGTGCCACGGTTTAAATGGAGGGTGTTTTGCCCAGCCTGGCAAACAAAGGTCATCACTTTTTAAAAGCCAGAACAGGCCAAGCTGAGATAAGATGAACTCTCACTTAAATTATTACTCAGCAGATACCTCTAAGAATCCAGTGGTTGAGGCCTCAAAATGCCCCCTATTATATATTTATTGTTCTAAATACCTCCGAGCACACAGGGAAAGCCATCACTAATGAGCTAAAAGAAATGTAGGTTTTAAAAACTCTGAAATAAAAGGACATATTAAATAGTAGGGTGCCACACGGACGTGTTCCTGGGCCAAAGTCATAAAACATTTTTTGCCTTGACTGCAAAATGTTCTGTGAGCTTTTAGGCCCAGTTTTGATCACTGTTACGCTTGCAGCTGTTTTATTGTGATTTGCTTACTAACATAGAAGGGCATGTGGCCACATAAAAGGTTCATGGCAATGATCGTTTTTATAATAGGTACACAGAGGAAAAAAAATGTGGCAGAACCGGACCATCAAAAGAGAAATGTGTCACCAGTTTTGGAAGAGATTATAATTACCCTGAAAGCAATCCGTCACTTAATTGTAGGATCATGTTTGAAAGAATGTGACTATTTTCGTTTCTTTGTCTGTGGCTAATTTATCAAAATCCTCTAGTGAGCTTTGTCGCTTCTAATAAACAGTGCATATATTTGTTATTAGATATTATGGAGAAAAAAAAAGCATACACATCCATTTTTAATTCAGTCTACTTGCATTCAGTTTTTCATACATCATCTTTCCCTGCAATCTTCCCCTCTTCCCATATTTTCACATCATCAGCTCGGCTGTGTGGAGCAGGCGTATGTTAGAGTGAACAAGCGGCACTGGGCCCGGCTCGGGCCGGTCCAATAGCAGTGACCAGCCAGCAGACCAGACCACCAACTATAGCCAGCTAGCTACCTGCCTGGGCTGCCAACTGGTCATTTACCCAGCCAGCCATACAGCTTCCCGGCCAACCTCACAGCCAGCTCGCCAGCCTGTCAGCGGACCCGCCAGTCAGCCTGGGCTGAAGCTCCTCTGTCAGACGCTGACAGAAGGGGCAGGCCACACTAAATCTGATGGTCCTGGGAGCCAACCAGAGGACTCTATAGCCTTTGTAGGCCGTTCACACAGGCAACTTGTCCCGTTGCACAGCAGGTGGCTTGAACCCACAATCACATGGCTGTGCCCTCAACTTTGCCTCATGACAAGTTAGCTTTTTATGGATGCCCACTGTCGAGATTCCAGTTTTGACAATGTCTCTGTAATTCCTGTGAGCCTCTTGGATTAATTCATGCAATTTGGAAAGCATCATTCAGCAAATATATTCCCTTTTTTTGTGAATTTGGGAGGCTGACATTTAAATGTAATTGTAATCAGAGGAGTGTGCCATACTTATTATAAATCCAATCATTGCAAATAAAAAAAAAAAAATGTTGAACTTGTTCCTGGTTAGAGCCAGCCTTTTCGTCCAACTTGCAGAGGACGTATTATCCGCCATTACAGACCAGACCAGGGCAACCAGCTGTGCTCCTCCACTTTTGTCTGATGGGCAATAAACTGTCTGCTTCAGGAAACCGACTTTTAATATGGCTGAGGCCATCTTCTCTGGTTAGGAAAGCTGTTAATAAATCAGAACTGCCTGTTTAAGACAGTTCCAGTATTCAGTCGCAGTATTAAAAAGCATAACATGCGTGGGTTGCTCATGTGAAGCTGGCCACCACAGCATTTTTCGGCAGTCTGCTTAATTGTCTCTCACCCACAACTAGGATTGAACCCTAATTTGTTAACAGAAACTTTTAATATGTTTCTGTGTCTGTGCTGTTGGGGGCTATTAAAGTGGAGTGACAAAAAATGGAGAGGAGAGGAGAAGAAGGGGCCAGTTTGGACATAAGAGTGCATTTTGAAACAAGAGAGCATGTTTTTGGACGGTATTTTTTGTTTGGGGGTGGGATGTAGGGGGTGGGTGGGGGGTCCTCGTAGCCCCCCACCCCCCACACACCATTCTCTTTGTTTGTGTGGTAAATCCAGGAGCAGCTGCTGGTCCCAGGGTCTAGTGGGATTTTGGGTCTGTGTTTTCTCATGCCATCCCATGCCAAGGTGGTGTAACGCAAGCACATAGAGAGAGTGTGAGGGGGTGTTGGGGAGGGTGGTTGCGGTTGGAGAGCAAGCTGGTTTGTTGGGATGGCTGTGACCATGTTGGTGACGAAGGCACGTGCTTGTGGGGTGGTGGGGGTGTTAGCTTTAGAAGGCGGGTGCTGTCTGGATTCATGTAAAATTAATATCCTCTGGACTTTGCCTTTGCACTAGATTGGAACTTGTCTGTTTGGCTAATGACGTGCCTTCTGCCTGCACCGCACACAGTCCACCCCCCAATCCTTTCTCCACGACCAGCCACCAACCATCCATACCCCCACCTCTTTGCTTCTCCCTCTGCCATCTCTCTCTTCCCTCCCTTTGAGCACTGGGAGCGTGCGTATTGGCTGGGCTGTGAGAGACTCCGTGCCAAATAGGTGGGCCCTCTGCATGTTGGCACAGACTCAGTCAATGGTTAGAGACGGAAAGTGGAGAGGAAGAGAGAACGGGAGAGCCAGAGTTGGAGAGAAAGAAGGGGGAAAAAAGAAGCTCCACTCGGGTTTGCCAGTGGTCGTGCACAGTCTTCCAACATTTACTCGGTCCTCTTGTTTTTTTGTTTTTTTTTCCTCCTTTTCTTCTTCTTCTCCTCCGTCCGCACCCCCCTTGTCAGCTCTTCTTCTTCTCTCTCTCTCTGTGACTCTTTTGCAGATCAGAATACAACCAATCCCATGTGCAGTTTTGCCAACCAATCTTTTTTTTTTTTTTTTTTGTGTTGGTTTTCATCGAAATATTTTTCTCTCCACGTCTTTGTGAACAAAGAAGAATGTTTTGATTTTTGATCCTTTTTTTTCTGCCTCACATATTTTAACTTAATTTTTACACATCAGACTCTGTGTTTTATTTTAATGGCTGACACAGAGAGCTTGCCAAACTTTTCTGCACTCTCCTTCTGATGTGCTCTTGAGCAGCACCTTTTCCGCTCTTTACTCTTGCTCCAGTACCTCTTGTGTTCCTGTGCTGGTATTGCACTGTGCCTCTTTTTTGGCCTGTCTCCTCTTTCTCAGATTCTCCCCCCTGCTGCTTTTATTGGACAGTTTCTCAGCTTCTGTTTTTGCTTTTTTTTTTTTTTTTCCTTTTCTTCCACAGTCTTTTGTTTTGTAATATTCACAGCAATACTCCAGCGCTCAACAATCCAGTCACTGCACTGGTTCTGGTTCCGCATTTTAAGTTTACCCACAATCGATGGAGTGAATTTATGATGAAAGAGCGAAATGGTAACTACCATGTCGTTTACGTTTTATTCACGTATTTTTTTTTTTTTTAATCCAGTTGTTTGGTCAATTTTCATTTCAGACACAATGCTCATGAATTTTTTTTAATGGTGCATTTTTATTTCTATTTTTTTAAACCAACTAAATTAATTTCAGTAGTTTAGTAACTTGTGACACGACCCAAGTGATTTCACTTGCCTTTTATAGAATTTTTGGTCTGTTTGTTATTACTTTCTCAGTCCGAATCTGATTCTTTTTTCTCTATTTAGAGAAAAGGTTGTCCATATTTAACAATATGCATTGCTAATATATTTTTTTTAAATTTAAGCATAAAATTTAACTTCTTTGTTTGTTCATCTCTTACCTTAGTCTGTCAGAGGTTTGCATATGTGTCCTTCAGTGTGATGTCTCCCTGTTAATGACTGGAAAGCATCCTTAGCTCTCTCTCCATCACTATCTCTCTTTCTTTCTGTCAGTCTCCGAGCGCCTCTCTCTCATTCTTTCCCTCCGCTCACACGGAGCAGGCGCCGCTCCTCCATGCTGCGTGCCGGTCCTAACTGCCTCTCTTCTCTCTTCCCCTCCTCACCCCCGCTTCCTCTCTCCCCATCCTTCTCTCCCCCGTTCTCCCCCTCTCTTTCCTCTGCCTCCTCGTGCCTCCCCCCCTCCTCCCTCTCCTCGTCCGCCCTCCCCCCATCCTCCTCTCTCATCCAGGATGAATTCCACCCCTTCATCGAGGCCCTTCTGCCCCACGTCCGCGCCTTCGCCTACACCTGGTTCAACCTGCAGGCCCGCAAGCGCAAGTACTTCAAGAAGCACGAGAAGCGCATGTCCAAGGAGGAAGAGCGTGCGGTGAAAGATGAGCTACTCGGGGAGAAGCCAGAGATTAAGCAGAAGTGGGCCTCGCGCCTGCTGGCCAAGCTCCGCAAGGACATCCGGCCCGAGTTCCGCGAGGACTTTGTGCTCACCATCACAGGCAAAAAGCCCCCGTGCTGCGTGCTGTCCAACCCTGACCAGAAGGGCAAGATCCGTCGCATCGACTGCCTGCGCCAGGCCGACAAGGTGTGGCGGCTGGACCTGGTGATGGTCATCCTGTTCAAGGGCAGTCCCCTAGAGAGCACGGACGGAGAGCGGCTCGTCAAGTCCCCACAGTGCACCAACCCTGGCCTGTGTGTCCAGCCACACCACATCGGAGTGTCTGTCAAGGAGCTGGACCTTTACCTTGCCTACTTTGTCCACACGCCAGGTATGTTGCAACCTGCACACTGTTACTGTACACAGAATACTCGAATCATGCTGCACATGAGCACATTTAGGTGTGCTGATTTTTTTAATACTAACAGACATGAAGAGAAACACAAATGAGGACATTAAAGATTTGGGTGGAGGACAGTTAATTACATAAATAACAAATATTTACATGTGTATTTAGAAATGAATAGGTAAACTTGAAAAAAGCTACACCAAGAAGTTTTTCTATATTACATTTTATATTTAAATCTTAATGTTCACAATTTAAATTATTCTCAAAACGTATGCAAATGCTTTAGGAATAATAAAAGTAACGTTTCGTGCTGCTTTTACAAAACCACTGTCATTTTGATATTTCTATTTTCTATTTTTCTGTGCTGTTTACTTGACAACACAGCATCAACAGTAATAAAAATAAATTTTGGATGTGTGTCTGGGGCATAGTTCCAGCTTGCTCTGGCAAGTTTCTGTTTATATTTCTGAGGGAGGAATTTATGGCTTCATGAGTATATATTTTGTGTTTTTTTATAGAAAAGAATTTGCATGCCTGTGTGAGCATGTGTGCGTCTGAGAGGGAGAGTGTATGAGACGACCGGTGCTCTAAAACGTAATGTTTTCGTTGCACAAAGGGGGAGTCGCTGTTTTTTAACATTGCTGGACGTGGAGCTGCCACGAGGAGGTTGCTGTTTTCAGGGATGGTAACTTGGCCAAAGCCCAGATTGTGTGTTTTCGTGTGTGTGAAAGAAGAAGAGAGCAGAGCCGTGAGTCTGCAGCTCTCAGGCCACAGGCTGCTGCTGCCCTCGCTGTCTGCCTGAACAGCGAGCACCACGTTGGACCTGACTGCCAAACACATGCTCACACACAAAACGGCAAAGCTAAAAGACAGACAGTACTATTGCAGCTACTTTCACACCCATGAAAACACAGCTAAATACAACCACACACTCTTGTTTTTTTTAATTTTTTATTTACTTAATTTAATTTAATTCTTTCATCTTTTTTAGTTCACTTTCCGACAAACAGCCAAACACGGTTTTAGTCACAATTACATCCACAGACCAACACAGTGCACACATTCGTCCAAGAGACTATCACAGATACAGTTTGAAACAGCCAAACATTGTTGTATCTCAGCCACCATCGTAGATACACACTCACACACCCGGCCAAACATCACTGCAGCTTCCAGTGCGTGGACTCCACACACACACTGGTTGGGTTCTGTTTTTTTCTCACAGTGTAAGAAACACAGACACTCTCACAAAATACATTTCACAGCCAAATCCTCCAAATACACACTACATCACCATTTGCTGTCTGGTTGTTCAAACAAGCTCATGACCTAATGTTATCTCAGCTGGATTTTCTGGAAATTTTAAACACTGATTTAACCAGCACGTATATATTTATACGCAGCACGTCCCCCGTCACCGCCTGAACACATCGACCTGCTCTGTTGGCCAAATGCTATCATAAGCAACTCCCAGTGTTTCTCTCTCTGAGACACACACACACACACACACACACACACACACACACACACACGCACACACACACGTTAAACGTCAGTCCAGGCCAGACACCTCACACAGCCTGAGCCAAACCTTGGCAGCAGCTCCAGCTTTGCTTTGTTAGTCTTTCTTTGATGGTAATAAACGATATGTAATGGGTAGTCTCTCTTATTGTTGTCATGGTAATTTTATATTTTTTTGATAAGCTGTCTATCAACGATATTGATTTTATTAGTTTTTTTTTCTGACACAAATTTAGTCCTCTTCAAATATATATGATTTTACAAAAATACCGTAGTGAAATTTATCTGCTTTAAATTAAATAATACACTAATTCTCAAAGGTACGTTTTAAAATTCAAATTACGTCTTCAATATATATATTTTTTTTGATTAAATAATTTTTAAGCTAAATTTTCAGAACGTAAAATTTCACATTAAAGGTACAAAGATCAGACAAGCAGGGTTGCAGTAAATATTTTAATTGTTTTATATATTTTATATTATTTTACATCGGTGTAATGCTCTGCTGAAGCAGACTGTACCGGTTCTTCTAAACAGAAAATGTTTCTTGTTCACTCATGCGCACGCACATGGAAACTGTAATTAATCACCATAAGTTTGCTTCCTTGACGTCAGCTGTTCCACTCCTCTGCAGTACTTTGGTTTACAGCAGGACAGTAAAACACTTTCTACACGGTGTGCTATCCATTCATGATGTTGACTTACTTTGTATTTTTCTCTTATCAAATCTGGCTTATGCAGTGTTCCTCGGTTGTTTTAATAATTCTTTCAAAGAGTTGACGCTAGGTTTTAGTCGCGCTTTGATCGATTTATTTGGCTGAAAACTAGAAACACGACATTAACTTTCACCTTGCAAACTGATGTCATGCTGATCAGTTTCAGTGATGTGTGTAGTTTTTTTTTTGTTGTTGTTGTTGTTGCCTTCCTGCAGCAAATGACAAGATGTGTTCATTATTTGTTTTTGTTTGGTTTGCATTTTGTCAGTCTTTAGCTTCTCTGTCTTCCCGGCTCCTCTTTGATCCTGTACACACTTTTGTTTTGCCTCCTTAAACATCGGCCTCATTGTTGCTCTCACAGAGGTAAAGCCTCCGCTGATCTCTTTTGTTTATATTGTAGGAGACACGGAGAGAGAGTGAGGTAGAGAGAGCATATTGGAAAGGAGAAGAGGCTACAATAGTGATTGTTCGGTTTGGCAGCACCAGAGCCCCGTTGGTGTGGGAAGAAGAGAAAGACGTCTTGTGTTTTGTTTATGACAGAGTGGCAAAAGCTGCCACGGGGAATCTCTGGGCTTGCCGTCAGGCTTTCTCAGACTGTTCTGCAGCCAGCCAGCTTTTGAGATCCTCTCTGTTACAGAGCAGAACACACCGCAGCCGTTTCTGAATGAACCACAACACCGCAGCAGACAACCCTCTCCCCTGATTTCTTTGAGGCACCTTCGATGAAGAGAAAAAAATAGATATAACTACACTTTGAACATTGCAGCTGGAGCACTGGCATTGGATAAGTACGAGGTAAAGCAGGATTGTGTTGCAGCTCACAGTGTAGTGTATTCTTAGCCTTCAGATGTAAGTGATTGGTCTGTGATAATAAGGATAATGATCTTTTGGCCCCAGGGTCTGCTAGAACAACACAGCAGGGACTCTTTATTAACCTGTAAACAGAGTGTATTGGCTCTGATTTACTTTACAATACCAGTTAAGATATATTTTTTTTCTTGTGAGAGTCTGACTACTGCATAGGTGGCTCCACTTTTACACCATCTGAGGAGAATTTATTTGGCTGCTTCTCAAAGTCTTCAGTGAGCTATTTGATTTATAATATGTGCGCTGTTTTAGATTAAACTCAGCACATTTCTGATTTATTCAGGGTAGGAAAAATAAAAGATATAAAAAAAAAACATTTGTCAGGTCCAAAGTTAGCTCACTGCACTTACTCATAGTTTGGACCTTTTTCATATTTCTTTTTTTTTTCTCGTATTTTCTTTGTGCGCTGTAAGTGTGATCATGAAAAGATGTTTCAAATGTGTTTCCAATCAAAAGTGCAGCACAGGAAATTTGCAGTCACTCTGAGGGAGGTGTGAAATGTGCTCGCCTTGCCATTTCTGCTATGACCGCTCCACACTCCACGCTCCGCGGTGCCAGATCCCGCCTCCGTCTCACTATTGCAGTAGTAATGCCTTGGACTGCTCTGTGAGAAAGTCCAGAGAAACCCTGGTGCCGTGGCCAGCCTCCGGCCAACTCCCTGACCACGGCAGGGATTCAGAAACAAAACGCCAGTTTACGTTCATCACAAAAGAAAAACTCTTGATTTATGGGCCCGCAGTGTGCAAGGTAAACTTTGGCTGGGGAGAGAAACGGAGGGTCAGTTGAAGGAAGGCAAACACAAAGGACGGAATATCAAAGCTGCCGGGATGAATAATTTACAGCGTAGTAAAAGTTGATACTGTGATGGGTTGCGTGGGTCTTCACTTTTATAACTCCTCTGTTTTCTGAGAAAGTAATCTGTTGTTAATTAGCTCCCGGTCTCTTCTCAGGCTCCTGAGACACCGTAGTTGTTGAGTGGACTGTCTTTGTGTGCGAGTGTTTGTGTCTGCGCAAGCGGAGTCCTGGGTGACACTCAGCAGTGAAGTTTTGATTTAATGAAATCTTGACACTCGGGGAGTCCATCAGGTCAGAGGCTTTTGTATTGTGTTGTGGGAACGCGGCCTGATGTCGGCTAAGGAAAGCTCTTCACACAGGGAGAAGCTTTGGCATCGGTGTGTGTTTACTGATCGCTCTCACTGTGTTCCTGATGCCTTTCTGTTGGGCACCAGGAACACACATGTAAAATCTGAAGGGTTAAGTTTCAGCGAGAGCTTGACAGGGAGTCTTCTCACACTATTCTTGGCCTCAGAAGAAGAAAAAAAGTGCATTTTGGAGGCTGCTGATGTAAGGAAAGCCAAAGCCTTGTTGTGTGCTTATTTACTCAGAAACATGTAGATACACAGATACATGCTGACATTGGAGTGTCAAAGGCAGACATGGCCTGATCCAAAACCGCATTGTCTGTGTTTATCTCATGAGAACATGAAGAGCAGAGCACACTCAAAGAAATAAAAGGGAAAGACAGCATTATGTTTGGTTTCCAGTTAAACTGACCAGTGAAAATTGGCACAATCGTTGCCCTAAAAATAGCTGGAGGCCTTCCCCCCCGCCCTCCCTCTTTACATAATGATAAACCCAGATTTCTCGGGAGAGACTAACAGCCATGAACATTTCTGGTCTACCCGCATGTGTTTCCTTTTGTGTGAAGAGTTTCAGCGTCAGGAGATATGTGGTAAACAAATTATTCCAGTGACATGTAGAGACCATCAGTATGTGGTTGAACAGACAAATATGGCAGCTTGTGCCTTCAGTGTTTTTACACGTTCTTCTCAGATTCTCTCTAATCTTTCTGAACGAACCCAGCTGTGGAACCTCTTC